GTGGAGAAGGGTAGGGAAATGGGGCTTCTGGGCACAAGAGGCCCATTTCGGAGACATTCTTTAGATTTAACTGGCAGATTTTGGTGATCATTTGGATATGGATGGATGAAGCCCCAAGCTGGTCACTTAGGTGGGGATGGGGAGACTTGGTCGGGTGAGGGGTTATACTGGGACTCTGGACCTGTACGGTGACCATTCACCATGAGAATGGTAGTTGTATCTGAAAACTCTCAGTGATCATGCATAGTTTGCTAAACAGCGTATAAATCTCAGAGTACCCATATGAGGTAGAAAGTCTTGTGGAAATTGGGAACTAAAGCAACCAAATAGCTTGCATGCCATCACTGGTAGGGACTCAGACAGTCTGAGTCTCCACCAGGATCAGCGAATTTTTCTTATGTAGGTCAGATAGTAAATGGATTAGGCTTTGTGGGCCATGTGGTCTGTGTCGTAACTACTCCTCTCTGACATGTACTGCTGTAGCTATAAATAACACACAAATGAATGGGTGCAGCTGTATTCCAGTGCGACTTTATTTAAAAAGCAGGCAGAAGAAGTCTGTACTGTATTTGGCTTATGGCCATAGTTTGCCAACACCTGGTCCAGGGTGTTGTATGTATTCTGCCCGATCAGCCAACAGTCTCCACCCTAGATAAATAATACGGGTGCAGATGGCTGCATAGTGAAACCTCGCGGGATTGTACGGATGAGAATAGCCTCGTTTTTCATTAAGTTTGCCCTTTGCCTGCTGCAGAATCTAGCCTGATTATGTCACTTGGTTTCGCTGGTATTAGATTAGATCCCCTCCTTTCCAAATCAAGGTGTCTTTTACTCTCCCAAACTGCCTTTCTGCGGATCTTAATTCCTCCTATTTGAAAGATTTTCTCTAGAGTTTAGAAGCTGGAGGGGCAGGGAGCAAGGAGATGCTGAAAACTTTGGCTCAGCCTTTAGATTTCTGCCTTAGGAAACTTCGCTGTCTTTTTGTCCATTACCTTCAGAATCACTTCCTCCCTGCCTTCAGGTGACAACTACAGAATGTAGTTTGATAGTTTTTCCATCTCTCCAGGTGTCTCTGTTGGTCTTGTCTTGTCTTCAGGTGATGCACACAGGCTGACACCCTGCTCCAGAGCTGAGCCAGGTGAGGGTGCTGAGAAGCTTGGAGACTCGTCCAGTCACTTTAACAAATCTTTACTTTGACAAATCCAGCTAGAAACGAGGCAGAGTTATGGTTCCTGAGCTTGCAAGGCTCACAGAATATTATAGTAAATAGACATTATATGAAAAACCATCAATGTTATCATATGAATTGTAGTAAGTGCTACAAAGGATGTATATGTTTTTTCAAAAGAGGGAATGCCTCCCGTGCATAGTGTGAGAACAATAACTAATTCTTGGCACGTAAAGACAATGGCAACCTAGTATCTTTTACTTCTGGCTTTTATTCTTGTCCTTATGTTTCTTTTTCTCATAGAACCGAAAAAATGCTTCAACATTTGTTTTTTTTTTTAATATAACCAATATTACTAATCCCCTACACTTCTGTAATCTTAAACAAGGAAACAATTGCTTTTACTTGTATCCTCATTTGATCTCAGGCTATGATGTAAACTTCCACTGTTTAAAAGTTTTGTGGTATGAGGGATCAAACCCCGGAGTTCTGTACCACTGAGCTCTATCTCTGGTCCTTTTCAATTTTGCAACTGGGATTTGCTAAATTGCCCAGGTGGGACTCAAATTTGTGATCCTTCTGCCTCAGCTTCCCTCAGTGGTGGGATTACAGGTGTGCACCACCACATCCAGAGCGTCTCACTTTTACAGATGAGGAGACTTTGTTCAAGTTTTAAAATCACTTATGACAAGTTCAGGGTTTTTAAAGTGGTAAAAGAAAGTAAAAGCCTTCCTGCATCTGATTATGTGAGCCAGAAATTAAGCACTGTTTGAGTGTGAAGTCAAACTTTTTTATACTGGTTTGAATAGGACTTATTTCTTGGTTCAAGTCACTTACCTTTTCTGATCCTAGCTCATGCTAATTGCCCAATAAATTCCAGTTAATAACACTGCCATTATTACTATAGACAATGTAGCAGAGAGAGTGCTCAAAATAAAGCTTTAGAAATGAGCAGGAAAACTTGGATAAGCTAAAAAAAAAAAAAAAGTAAACCCACTGGGCTTCTTTATTTGCAAAGTGAACTTGGAACTCTATTGGCTTAGAGTTTTCACGGTGATTAAAGGAGGGAATGTCCCCACACCTGGCAGTGGGTCAGCCCTCAGAAGTGGCCATTCCTTATTAGCAGTGGAGGCAAGGTGTTGGCCAGAGTTAGACTCATCCGGGTAGGGCAGGTGGCGGGAAAGTCCCATGGGGTTGGTAAGAGGATGTCTGGGAATATAGGTGTGTTGGGGTCACTTGGCCACAGCCTTATGGCTGATATTCAGGCAGGAAGGAAGAAATAAGAACTGAGCTCCAGAGACTGAACTTGGGGACAAGAAGCGTGCAGAAAAGAGTCAGCATTGGAAAGGAAAGGAGACACTGTGGCAGGAAACAGGCGTAGGAGAACCAGGGGTGCATACGGCTGAACTGATGATGACCTACTAGTGGTTCCTCTCACTTCTTTTGATTTGAAAGCCAAATCAGCTTCAGAGCCTGCAGGTGGTGGCTGGAGGAGTTGGGATCCTGGGCCACTCTGGGTATAGCCTATGGCTCAGCTGGTGAATGAGATGGCATAGCCCGGGGCATATAAAATAATTGGTGATGAGTGGTGGCGAGAAGGAATCAAGAAACCTGGAGATCCTCTCCCAGTCTTACATCACAAGGCACTGCTGCTGGGAAGGTCGCTGATCCTCTCAGCACTGCATGGGGCTTCTGAGCTCACTGCAGTTACAGGCGAATTTGCCACTGATACTTGAGAGAAGCTAGTGTTCATCCTGGATGCTGATAATTTTTTTTCAGCAGTGGAGATTGAACCCTGGTCCTTTGCATTCAGCTGTATCCCCAGCCTTATTTTATTCTTTACTTTGAGACAGTCTCACTAAGTTGCCTAAGCAGAACTCCGACTTGCATCCCTCCTGTCTCAGCCTCCCGAACCACTGAAATTACAATTGGGTGCCAGTCCATTTGGCTTGACAATGAATCTTATGTCCAGGGCAGGCCAGAGAGGAGAGCTTGAGTTCCTTCTTCCCAGTTCTTATGTGCACCAAATGCCTGATATGGCCCTTCTCTCTCGAAGGCCAATAGCTGCCTCATTATCAGAAAGAACTAGGACTAGGGCTTCATTAGCCAAAAGCAATGCTTCTTTCACTAGTAGAGAAGAGACCTGGGGGCCGAGTTATCTGGATTGAAGTGGTATATTAACTCATTTCCATTACTGTAACAAAATACCTGAGGCTGTTAATGAGTAAAAATGTTTATTTAGCTCATAGTTTTTGAAGTTGCAGAGAATGGTACCATCATCAGCCCAGCTCTGATGAAGACCTCAGAGCTGACAGCATCACAGTGGTGGGATGAAGCCAGAGCACAAGATGAAGCCAGCTTTGTTGTTTATAACAGCTCCCTCTCATGGGAATTTACTGAGGCCCCATGAAAAGGGCATAATTGCCTTGGAGGGCAATTTATGCCCCCATGACCTAAGTACCTTGGACTAAGCCCTGCCTCTTAAAGGTCCTCTGCCTTTCAACATCACCACACTGAAGATCAGGGCTCCCACACATGAACTTTTGCAGAACAAACCACCTAAAAACCATGGGGATCAAGGACGTAGTCGAGACTGCTGCATGTTGCTAGAAGAGTCTCTGTGGTTTGGTGCTGGGGGCCTCACACTTTGGTGTGCACGAGCATAAACTGAGTATATCTCAGAGTTCAGATTTCTGGGTTGCACCTCTAACGATTCTGATTAAGCCAGTCCGAGGTGCCTGTGAGAGTCTAGTTTTAAGATGCTCCCCAGTGCAAGTGGGCCATGAATCACCCTTTGGGAAACGTGGGTGGTGTGGGTTGCGTCTCAGGCTGGGCCTTAGGAGGAGGGAATTCCGGCCTTGGGTTTCCTCTAGTGTATATGCAACCTTGGGCAAGTCTCTTTCCATCTCTGAGCCTTTATAAAATGAGGAAGTTGGGTGACATCAGCAAGACTCAATCCAAGCTGTGCAGTGGAGTTGTGTGGAAGCTTTGACCCGAGAGAACCCATGACTCAGGCTACCCTGACATTTCAACACATGGGTGAATCGCATGTTTGACTCTGTGTGTGTGTGCGTGTGCGCGCGTGTGTGTGCTTAAAGAGCGTCTGGTGACTGATTGCTGCTGGGGTTGGGGGCTGCTATCCCAGTGATGCCCAGTGCTCCTTCCATTTCCAAATTCTGAGTCCATGGGAGGCCGTATAACGTATGCCTCATTTCTTCATTTATCTGTGTCAGGAGGGAAAGACTTTCTACATAATATGATTTTCCAAACAATTAAAGAGTTTCCAAGTAACTAAAGAGTGATCATTAAATCACCGAGTTTTAAAAACTTTCACCCTACTTTGATGTTTCTTCTTAGCAAAAGATCGAAACCTTCTGATGATTTAAGGTTGTCACCGTGGTCACTCATTCAGGCACTCGCTCCACAGTCACGCATTTGGTGTCTACTCTGTGTGAAGTGCTCGTGGAGATGATGTTACAGTGCAGTCTGAAGACTGAGGGCCACAGGTCAGCAATAATGATAATGCAAACTAGTATTTAAATATTCATCCCTGCTTAGTTCTATTATCCATTCAGTGCTCACAATAATCCTCTAAGGAGGTACAATTGCATTCTCATTTTACAGAAGGTGAACCCAAAGCGAAGCATAGAGAGGTTCTGTACTTTCTCAAGGTCACACACAATAGAAATGGGGTTCAGATCCTTCTGAACTGATCCTTCTGTGTGGTCTGGGAAAAGAATGTTCCTTCCCGGAGGCTCAGTTGCCTTCTGTGTCCAGTGACCTCTGGGCGTCTTGGTCCCTCCTACCTCACAGGTCCCTGTCTGCCCCCCAGGTCCCTCAGGAGGTCTCTCATCTGCATCAAAGAGAGCCTGCGCATATTCATTGACCTGAGGGAGAGAGACAGGGCTGCAGGAGCCTGGCTGGCGGCAGGAAGACTTCACTACCTCCTGCAGGAAGACGAGCTGGTGGAGCTCTACTTCCAGGTGGGTAAGGATCTGCTGACTCGGGCATTTGTGGAAGCAGCTGCACCCTCCATAGCTGGACGAGAGATGGGAGACGGGAGACGTCCATGCCAAGAGGTTGTGGGGCTGGGAGAGAGGTGTTAGGCTGGAGGCCACTAACACGTGTCTGCCACTTACTATGGGTGTGACCTTGGAGAGGTTCCATGTCCCTTCCCAGTCTCACTTTCTCCACCTGGAAAGAGCCGGCGTTGGATCCCACTTTCAGTCATTTACACATTAAACTCCTGGCTTTGCTATATCCATGTGCCTTCTGTACCATTACTGACTTCCTTTCTTTGACTCAACTTGACATCCACTAAGGTTTCTAACATTTAGCTTTACTTTAAACAGCACTATCTGAAGTCACTGGCTTGAGGCATCAATAATCTTTTTTCCTAAAGCCCATTAGATGCTGAACTATTAAAGCAGAAGGTGTTTATTTATGTACTGCTAAAAATCACTTCTAGTATCACCTCCTCTCTCACACCATGATAGAGAAATATCAGAGAGAGAACCTCCAGGCCTTCCTGTCACCCTGGATGTGTGCAGGCTGCTGCAGATAGGGGGACTTCAGCCGAGGATTGAACTGGGGCGCCTGGATCTTACTTCTGCTACTCCTGTTGAGCTCTGGAGGCCCTTCTCTCCGCCTTGACAGCTGTCTCTGTCCACCCAGGCAGCCATCCAGACAGCCTTCAGGGCAGAGCAGCCCTCCTTGGCTCTCAAACTCTACGAAGAAGCAGGCGATGTGTTCTTCAATGGGACCCGCCACAGGCACCGCGCGGTGGAGTATTACCGGGTAAGTCCTGGACTGTGCTGTGCCCTGGCTGGGCTGCACCTGGCACCGACGCGGGCAGGCTCACCCCAGGCCTCAGCCCTGGTCCCTTTCCTCCTTCCTTGTTGGTATTTCTTATTCTTCCCTCCCTTGTCACATGCTTACGTACTCTCCTGCTCTCTGGGGAAGGATTGGATGGATGCTGTCATTCTCAGGCTTGATATGTCCTCCTTCTTGGGGCAGTGCACCGGAGTAACTATACCTCCTGGGTGCATGGTGATTGTTAGCATCATACTTCAGTGCTTACCAATCTTTCCCACTTACTACTGGTGTCGTAGTACAATATTTTAAATAATTTATTAAAATGTACTTTAAAATGCATAATACCAGCTCTTCGAAACTATGATTTCACAGTTATTATTGTAAAGGATGAGGCAAAAAGACTTGATTTAAAAAATAACACTGACTCAGTAAATTTCCAGCTATTCAGCGGATACCTCAATTGTCCTTCGCCACTGACTGCAGTTTGGGAAACTTCATTTTATTTGACCCTAAAATTTAATGTTTCCAGATATTTATTTTTTGTTTAGTTTTTATTTATCTATTAAACATTATCCAGCGCCTAGTATGTGCCAGGCTGAGTTAGAGGTCAGGAAGATAAGAAACAGTTCTTGACTAGAGAGGTGCCTATTTTCATATGCATTTTGTAAATAAGAAAATTGATGCTTGAGATGAAGTGACCTGCCTAAAGTTTCATCATAATAAAAATAACAGAAGTGGCCACTTACTGAGCACTGTTGCACACTGTTTGTACACTCAAGGGAATACTTCACATATTAGTCCTGTGACCACAGGGCTGAGAGGTGAATCACTCCCCAGGCAGTCTGAGGAAAAGCAACCTCCCTATCCTTCTCTCAGTTGCCCCTGACTTAGGGGGCCCGATGACCTCTGGCTCTTCAGCCTCTAAGACCTAGGCAGAGTACCAAGAGAAAGGAGCAGGAGAGCAAACTGAGAAAAGGCATAGCTGTGAAACATGGCGACCATCCCAAGCCCTGCCAGGAAAGGACGAGACTGAGGGTGGCAGATGCAATAGACTAAGGTTGCTGTGCTTGGGTCCTCAGGCTGGGGCCGTTCCTTTAGCAAGGAGGATGAAGGCACTCAGAACTGAGCTTCGGATTTTCAACAAGCTGACAGAGCTGCAGATCAGCCTTGAGGGCTATGAGAAGGCTCTGGAATTTGCCATGCTTGCTGCCAGGCTGAGCACAGTCACAGGTAGGTGGTCCTGACTGTCCGCTATCTTGTCAGGAGGGACAAGCCTCACACATTTGTTATGAGGAGCAACGATTGATCACATAAAGGTCACAGCATAGTGCTAGACATATAAGTCCTCCATCACATATATCCTTGGTCAGTGTGACCTGTGCCTCACTAATTCTTAATATGAAGTTGCTATTATTCCCTCAGTATTTTTATCCTCGGCAAAGGCAACACTCCCAGCACATAAGCACTTTGGTCTTAGTTTTTAATTGGTTGATTGTTAGCCAAAAGCATATTTTCCCATGAAATAAAAGTGTAAATGAAGGTCAGGCTCCCATTAGCCTAAATCACAACATAGTTGGAATAGATTGCATTTACAGCAAAAACAATGGGAAACAATCTAAGTTACTGAAGTAGAGAACAGTAGAATAAAAAAGATTAAAAAAAGAAAACATCCTCTTGACTTGGTGCTGAGGAAAAGCAGGTGTGATTAGAGAAATGGTAAATTGATTAGATGCAGGGGTAAATAAAATCTTTTGTAATGGTTCTAGAAGGGACTTCTGGACATTTTCAAGGACATCTGATGCAGATGGTACTGGACTTTATTTTGTCTAATCGCACTTGCAAGCTCTTGCTCTCTTTCCTGCTTGTTCCTTTATTACAGAAACCCTCGTCTGAGGAATTGTCTGCTAATCTCAGGAAAGGCCTTTGGGGCCCAGTCCCCTGCAAGGTGAAAGGAAGCTGTCTGTGTTCACCCCTTACAGTGAACTTTTCTGTGCTTGGATTTTTCCATATTAGAGAGTTTTCTCTCCTTTGGACTTCCTCTTTTAATTTTGGCTTTTGGCTTTTTTGAAGGTTAAAAGTGATATTTTTAGGTGACATCCAATAACCACCTTGCACATATTCCAAAACAGGCTTGTAAGCCTTTGTTCCCTGTAAGAGGTAGCATTGTATTACAGTGGTTGTTTAGATACTAAAACAACACGCCCTCCCAAACCCAAACAGCAAGTCAGACAGATACCCATTAGAAACCAAGGTCTCAAAGCCCGGTTTAATAGTGAATGGGTCTGGGTAGCATGTATCGAACCGAGTTGGAGAAGGAGCTAGGGTGCTAGCCAAGGGAGCTCTCTGAAGAGAGACTTTCATGTTGAGAAGACACTTGTTATACAGAGCTATTCCTTGTAAGGAATTCTTAGCCAGTCTTGTTACCAAGGCCCAGAACAGGGATTTAGAAATAACTCTGTCCCAGAATCTTGAATTCCAGTGTCATCTATAATAGGAGAACGTGTTCTTCAGGGATGATTGACCAGAACACATAGACACCACTTAGTTTTTCACAGTGAGCCCAATGTTTTCTTTTGTAGGATTGCTCATGGGTGAAAATTTACATTTGTTTGTGGGATTATTGAGGAATGTTGGCATCCTATAGGACCACAGCCTCATGAGGGCAGGGGCCCCTGCTGTGTTGTTTCCTATGCTCCAGGCAAGGTCCCTGACATTTAAGAGATTTTCAGACAATTTTACGGGATGCACGTGTGGATGAATGATGCAGAGTGCTGGCCACAAGGTCTCTCTCTCAGCCTTCCGATTCCTAGGAGATCAGAAGCAGAAACTGGTGGCCTTTCACCGCCTGGCTACAGTGTACTACTCACTGCATATGTACGAGATGGCTGAGGACTGCTACCTGAAGACTCTTTCCCTTTGCCCACCATGGCTACAGAGTCCCAAGGAGGCACTGTATTATGCTAAGGTGTATTATCGGCTCGGTCAACTCACCTTCTACCAGCTGAAGGTAAGAGCCAGGCATCCAAGGCTAAGTGGAGCTGCTGTCCAGCCATACACTCTCCCGACCTGGGCAATGGTGGTGAGGAGCCTTTAGGGGTGGAGTTGAGAGGTCCAGAGACCCAGGATGAGGAGTCTTGGTTTATAGGGTGGGGAAGAGCGCCACAGGGCACACCAAGCCCTCCTGGAGACTTCAAAGACACAACCAAGTCTGCTGAGAACAGAGATCATAGTTCATCCTTCTCTTCACCCTGCTGTAATTCCTGTAGCTGCTACAGCGCTCAGATACTCTGGGCACATTGCCTAGTACCTGTGACTCCCTTGAGGTCCCATAAAAATATGTCATTCTCTTCTCACTGTCCCCCAAAGAACTATAACTGCCAAAATCAAAATCAAAGTCAAGAGTACTTGATAGCACAGCCACAAAATGTTGTAGATCAACCATCACCCATTTCGTATAAAGTTCCACAAGCCTATATTTCACGAGACCCATGGGTGTATATCAATATTTTTGTGATAATAAAGTGTGGAACTGTTGCATGTAAGTATGCCTAGGTACTGAGAGGCCTTTACCTCTGATTTTCCTGCTTGCTAGGGTGCAGATCAATCTAGGACTTATTCTTCAGTCATGCCTAGAACTGTGTTGGTCATCTTCAGTTCTGTGTGTGTTACAACTCTGCATGTAGAACAATGTCCCTGTGTTTGCCTTCCCTTTACCACAGGTCCCTGTCCTTCCCAGCACAACCCTTAATTTCTTAGTGCAGTAACTTCTGAGTCTCGCCTATGTTTGGGCCTCAGGGGAGCCGCAGGGCAGCTCTACTGTTCTTTTTTCACTGGCTAGACTTTGGCCCAAATTAATTATTGACCTATGAGAGTTAGTGAGAACCAGACATCTTTCTTGCGTCTCACCCAAAAGAGCATCTGTTTCTCATCCCTGCCATGGAGTGAGGGATGGAGGGGGTGTGGGATTCCTTGGCCATCTTGCTGCAGCCCCACAGATCCCAGGAAAGTGTTCATGGATGCATTGTGCGTGGTCTGACTGCATGGTGCATGCACATCTGAAATCAGGCTGTCATCTCTTCACCTGATACCCATCAGCTTTGATTTGATGGCCAGATCATCTGCCCTTCATTTCTAGCTTTTTGGGCTTACCAGATGTTGGCTGTGTGTGGGGTGGGACAGGAAGGGTCCATGGAGTCACTGGTGCATCTTCTAGTCACTAGAGATGCATAGCTTCTAGTCAGCTACACATGAGCTTGTCTCTTCTCTTAAGGTCTTGGTTACCAAATGCTCTCTACTCTCAAAAGTATCCTTTCCTGGGAGGGAGACAAAATGATCTAACCTGCTGCTATGTAAAATAGATGCAGTTTTGTTCCTTCCACAAGGATTCTGGTGGCTGCAAAGGAAAAGCTCAACTCAAACAACTCCGGAATAGGCAGTTTATTGACTCCAGTACCTGAAAATGAAGTATAGATTTTGTTTCAGGTAGTTTTTGGTCATCATTATTACGAATTTCCCCACCTTTTCCTGTTTCCCTTGTCGCTGTATGTTATATTTGTTTGTGTCCCTTCTCCTCTGCCCCTCCAGCCCCTGGGAGGCTTAAGCCCACATCCAAAGTGTTAAGGGAGCATTTACCCTATTGGGTCACACCGAAGAGTCCTGGTACATGATGGATAGGTCAGGTTTGGGTCTCACCCATCCTGGAAGCATTGCGTCTGGGGCAGTGATGTGTCACGATTGGCCAAGCCTGCGTAAGATGCTGCCTCTATGCCCAGGGAGGAAGAGCCTGTAAATAGTGATGCCATGGGGTGGGGTGGTACAGGAGCTCCCTGGAGGAACTAGGATGTGGGGATGGGAATGTGAGGCCAGCACTGCCTCCCAGCCTATCTATCCTGCAAGTGTTTGCTAACCTTGTCTCTTTTTCTGCCCTCCTACTATGGGGTTAGGATGCTCATGATGCCACTGAGTACTTCTTGTTGGCCCTGGCTGCAGCAGTCCTGCTGGGTGACGAGGAGCTGCGGGACATAATTAGAAGCAGGCTGGACAACATCTTCCAGAGCCCCTTGTGGCACAGAAGTCCCTCAGGGTGTTCCTCAGAGCGGGCGCGGTGGTTGAGCATTGGAGGCCTGGCCCTCTGAGGACAGCTACCTCTGACCATTTGCCATGGCTGGATGCTGCCTCCCTGTCCGAGGCTCTCAGATATCGAGGGGTGGCTTTGAGTCCTCTCCTGGCCCAGGCCGCTTGTTTGCCAGGAGAAGAGCAATGTCCAGAGGGAGAAGGTCTCATCCTGGACCACACACGGAGCTGACAGTGGAGCCACAGTGGACCATCCTAGCTTGGGGCCTTATCTCTGGATTTGTCTCCAGGTACCTGTGGCCTTTCCACACAGGTGGCCTATGAAATGCAGTTTCTCATCATGTAGTTCTGGAGAAAATTAGAAAACCTTACCCCTTACCTCAGAATCTTTCTTTCTTCCCCCAGTGAGGAAATCAGGCACTATTCTAGTGAAAGTCAGGCAGATTAAAGTTTGTGCCTGTCACCCATTTTCACAGATCCTGCTACTTGTCAAGGGAAGAGCCCGTGGTCTTTTTTCTCAAAACCAAAGGAGGTGCCACTCCTTGTGCTCATGGGGACTGACACGTGAGGATTCACCATGCTCGTTAGCTAAAAAGGCAGCCTCAGGATGGCTAGGTAGACACAGGGCACGAGGCTGCTGCTGGCTGGGATTCATGTCTCCATCCTGCCCCTGGCTATGTTCCCACATGACCTTCCAGAAGCTGCAGTGAAGCTTGTGAGGGACCAAGGTTTGAAATAGAATATTAAGCATATTGTGACATAAATTACATGTAAATAGTATACATCATTAAATATCGATCATCGACATTCACACACACACACACACACACACACACACACACATTTTGTCTCCTTTGTCTTGGGTACAAATGAGATCAGAGTCTTGAAGGATGGGTTAAATACCAAGATGTCTTATTGGTTTCAGGGTAGCTCTTCACAGAGCACCTCTATTAGTAATCTATCACTGCATGATACAGGGATGGCTTGAACAACAGTTATGGATTATCTTACAGTTTCTGTGGGTCAGAAATCCAAGTGCGACTTGACTGAGTCCCCTGACTCAGGGTGGCTCTTGGGGCTGCAGTCATGGTGAGTTCAGCTATAGAAGGATCTGTGGCTGTCAGATCACACACCTGTTGGCGGGGGTCAGTTCCTTGCTGACTGTTGGCCACCATGTGGGCCTCTCCATGGCATGGTTCGCAGCATGGCAGCTCACTTCATCAGAGTGAGCAAGCCAGCAAATCCAGACAGCAGCAGTCACTGTCTTTTCATAACCTGATTGCAGAGTGACATACCCTTAGCTTTACCTATTCTATCAAGTGGGGCCATTCTGCATAGAAGGGGGTTGGTAGTTACCAAGGGCATGAACACCAGGAGATGAGAACTTACTGGGGTCATTCCTGGAGTTACTACCATTGCATGAGTCTTTTGGGAGTGGGATCAGGTATTGTCTAAGGCAGTGAACTCAAGAATGTGTTCCACCGATCAGGGGCAACAAATGCACCAGTGAGAGTGTTTGAAGTGCAAATTCTTTGACTCCATCTAAGATCTCCCAGTCAGAAGCTCTGCACCCCAGAGGCTTAACTCTGGCAAACTCCCCAGGTGATTCTAAATAGAGTTGAGGAGCAGTGCTCTAGAACAGATTTTCTTGGGTAGGTTGCCCTTGGGAAAACTAGTTGAACATGAACTTTTTGGTTCCCACTGCTAAAAAATCAGTAGGTCAGTAGTTCAAGGGTATACCCCAGGTGTGTGCATGTTTCATGAAGTCATTCACCCTTGCTCTGAGCAGTGTGAGCACACCTGAAATCAGGCTGTCATTCTCTTCACCTGATACCCATCATCTTTGATTTGATGGCCAAATCATCTGTCCTTCATTTCTAGCTTTTTGGGCTTTACCAGATGTTGGCTGTGTGCCGGGTGGGAAAGAAAGGGTCCATGGAGTCCCTGGAGAATCTTCTGGTCACCAAGGTCAGCTGCACAATGGCTCATCTCCTCTCTTAGGGTCTTGGTTGGAAAGGCTCTCCGCTCTTGAAAGGATTCTTTCCCAGGAAGGGAATGAAATGGTCTAACCCACTGCTATGTAAAATAGATGCGGTTTTGTTCCCACCACAAGCTACAAAATCTCCAAACTGGGAGGAATGTTGTGGCTGATGTTAGCCGTCTAATCTCCCACGTAGCGTCCTTTCAGCAACATTCCCTGGAGATGGCCAGGGGCACATGCATTCCAGAACACTTACGCATCTTATATTTGAAGATCGCTTGGCCTGGAACTCGTACCACGAGCTGTGCCACATCTGACTCGGGTTACAGAGCTTCTCCCTCTTCCCAGCCGCTCACCATTGTCCTCTGGCCAGATTTGACGCTGCTCCCCTGAATGTGTGATTCCCGGGGGTGTCCAGAGCTGTTGACCTTGGTTGGTGGGTGAAGAGTGCCGACGGTCACTGTAATGAATGTAAGATGGTGCATCTTCACTTTGTGTTAAGGTTTTCCTTCTCTCTGGCATCCATGTCTTAATTTGGCTCACACTGAGCTTTGTAATCACTTGAAACTCCTACATCTTCTCACTTGAACTTTCTCTTTGGTCAGGTATTTATTAATTGCTGCACATATGCATACACATGCCCATGCTCTCCCACGTACACAGACACACATGAAGGGCAATCTATCTATCTATCTATCTATCTATCTATCTATCTATCCCTTTTTTATTGTGTTGGAAGTTTTGGTCGGAATTTTCTAAGTCTGTGCATTATTATTAAGCTGTAAATACGGTAAATTTGTCTCCTACTGGGTCAGACAGAAATGTCCAAGATGCTCCCAAAGACAAGGGTAAGACTATTTTTTTCAGATGTGCAAACCATTGTATTATATAATTGCATTCACTACATCCTATATGTAAATTGCTTGTTAAAATAGCCTTTAAAATATTCAAAAAATCTCTTTAAACGTGGGCTAACTCTTCTTCATGGACTTGTGTTGATGCTTTTTTTTTTCCTCATGATCCTCATAGAGTGAAGTGATGATTAGATTGGTTCTCTAAGCAGATTTTATTATCTATATGTCATAGCCAAAGCTGATCCTCCTTCCAAAATTTTCAAGGACTGCTTGACCCTTGGTTACTTCTGCCTAATCTAAATAAAGCTGAGTGTGGTGGCACACACTTGTAAGTCCTGCACTCTGGGAAGCTGAGGCTGGAGGGTCACAGTTGAAGTTCAGCCTGGGCAGCGTTCTCAGAATTTTAAAAGTGGAGCTAGGGACAGCACCACAAAAACCAAACCAAACCCAGCTAAACCAAACCAAACCAAAACAAAAAAATCAAAAACAGAACTGCAACACTGGAAAAGCCTGTAATGCATTTTCAGCATTCAGGTGCATAATTTCCCTGTCTAATAATGTTAACATTCTGAAATCGAAAACTGCTTTTATCTTCTTCTTATTTGCCTTTCCATTAGTTTGGGATATCTTTATGTTTTGTATATGTTCGTTCATGTAACTCATTTTACAGAGGCTGATTTGGGAAGGGAAGATGCAAGGAGGAAGTGTCAGAATCGGGTGGGAGAGTGGATCACCAAGGGATGGGAAAGCTGGATTTGGACGTCAACCTGCAGGGCAGCTTTGGGCATATATTTAACGTCTCTGCACCTTAGGCCTCTGATCTCTAAAAGAAGTTCACCATTAGGTTCCTTTACTGTGTGTTATTTTCACACTGCATAACTAACTAGGATGAGAGATGGTATCTGGGAGATGAAATTGTATCTTCTTGCACCACAATTTTATTCTAGTCTTTTTGTAGGTGAGTAAACTGAAAAACAGCTGCATAGGTAGTTAGAGGCAAATGCAGCAGTTCTCTCTCTAAGTCTCACGACTCAGTTCTCTTATTCAGGGCTGCCTGCCCAGTTGTGCCATGCAAGTGTGTAGGCAAGTATCTGTGCATGCATTTATCATCATTGCACCAAAGAGCCTTTTGCCAAAACTTTTAAAAACTGAATTTCCTTTACTCATTCATATAAATTCATTTTATGAAGGATGACTGTTCCATGTATAAGTAAAAACTCATATTGTTTCCCATAGATGGAATTTCATAAACAATGGAAACGAGACAATGCACTTAATTCAAGCTAGGTCCTGTTGCTTAGAGCAAGCACACAGCCTCCGCCTGATCTGGTATGGTTTGAAAGCAGAGATTCGCCAGTAGGAGGGGTACAGGAGACAGATGAGCATCAGTCACTTTTTTTTTTTTTTAACAACTGGAGAAATGGAGAAAGCAGCAAACGGACAGGCCCCTCACCATGAGCCATCCAACCCATACTGGCCATATTCGTTCCACGTCAAAGAATGGGGATCCCGCTGGCTGAGGGGAAAAGGGCAAGCAAGAAGCTCTGAAATAGGATTCAGAGTCAGAAGCCCTGTGATGAGAGTCAGTCACAGGGGGTCTGGGGCATCCGAGGAGGCTTCCTGGAGAAGCAGTGCCTAAGCTGAGACCTGAATGGAAATATCGACAATTCTAATGCAGGTCCACAGGCTGCTATTGGCAGAGACAGCAAAAGGCCAGAGATACCGGAAGGCTGGATGGGTATATTGAGGCTGGGGCAGGGTCCGGCTGGAAGGCAGGGACAGGGAGAGTGGAGGTTGGGGAGGGGATGGAGACGGACTGGAGGGGCCTGAGCTTCACCGTGAGGTGAGGGTGAGCCGTCGGAGGAAGGTTAGAAGCAATCGGAAGACACCATGGGATTTAGAACGCTGCTTCTGGAAGCAGCATGAGGGTGGACTAGAGGGCAGCAGAAGGGGAGACGGTCCTGGCTATTGGAACGCACATTGTAGCATTTAGTTGAGCTTCATCAGTTTCTCCACGGGTGTTTTTGTTTGTTTATTTGTTTTTGTTGTTATTTTTTTTCTGATGCAAGATCCAGCCTAGGTACTACATTGCACGTAACTGTCACATTTCCCTTGCTAGCTCAGGTCTGTGACATTTTCACAGTCTTTTCTGTTTAGCATGACCTTCATAATTTGGACCTCCCTTTCTTTTGATATTGAGATATGTAGACAAAGGGCAGGGGAGGAAGGAATTCAAGGGAATGGACTCTGCGCTTTTCCAGGTGGTAGCAAGGGTATGGGCGTCTCTATCAGACATACCTGGGTCAGAATCTGCTTCTGAATAGCGGTGCAATCTTCAGCAAATGAATTAACTTCTCCGAGCCAAGTGCTGTTGAAGTTATGTCAGCACATGTAAAAGTTACAAGTACACACAGTGCCTGAATATTTACAGAAGGTAAATATTAGATGATCCGATAAAGGTTTTATTTACCCTATCTTGTAGACAAGGAAATGGCTGAAGCAAATCTATCTTTGGGGACAGTTTTACCCGAGGAAGAAAGGACTCAAAACAAATGAAGCTATTTTTAAAGGGAGTTAATAAAATGGTTTACGTTCTAAAAACACACCTACCATGTCCCTGCCTATCAGCTTGTTTATTTTAAAGTAATCTTTATACTTTTTTTCACATTAGCTTTTATGTGAAATTTTGTAATTTATCGTGTTTTGTTATTTTTGGGGGGCATAAACGTAGATGTTAAGAAATGCAGCCAATGAGGCAGGTAATGCTGGGGCACTGGCTCTGTGTTCAGGGACATCCAGGTCTGGAGCAGTTTCCACTGAGGGACTGTAGCAAAGTACCGTACCTTTTAGCCTCAGTAATTACTCCCCTGGATTTTTAAGTAAGACAACATGCGGGGTGACTTGGTATGAGCCCTCATGTTATGGTAGCAGTCACAGCGTCTGGGCCCCTCTCTCCAGTGGTGGTGTTAGGGTCCCCCTTGGGCTTGAATTTTACCTAGGCAGTCTTCCCTGTTGGGTAGGACAGAATGTCTTCCCGGTCAGCTTTTCATATCGTCAGATGTCGGACAAGGACCGCTGGAGTACCAGCTCTGAGACCTCGCAGTTGGTCCACATTCTTGGGAGGGTGTCTCCTCCCAGAGAAGCAGAGGCAGGTGCTGGCCTGTGTGTGGGGACTCTGCCAAGCAGCGATGGCCAGGGAGGGACCAACAATAACATGTCAGGCTGAGACTTCACAGGGCTGGCTCAGTTTAGTTTCTCCAGAGAGACAGGCAGGCTGGAGGGAGGGAATGACCTGTGCTTCCAAAGCTGTTTGAAAGCCAGTTCTTACTTCAGGGGCTGCCCCTGTCTCTATCCAGGACATCAAGGTAAATCAAGGGCTGAGTCCCTTTCAGGTGAGTTTCCAGATGTGCAGGCGTGGGGAGGATGGCTGAGGTTGGTGGCGTGGATGACCCGAGACAGGCTCATCTGTTGTCCCTTGCTGAGAAATCAAGAGATCCAGCAGGGGGCAGTAATGTCTTCCTTAAATAGTACATACAGTACCTATATCCTATAGTGCCAGCTGTACATCAGCTTCAAACCTTTTTGAAAAATAGTGATTCAGAATGAGAAAGACATTTTCTGCTGTATTCCAGTAAACATATCCACAAAGATACATATATGTTTGACAGAAGTCATTGATTCCTTACGACATAAAATGTACTCTGATCTATTCATTTTTAAAACACTCTATGCCAGGTTAAAAATATGCAGTGTGACTCACAAAAATGGATTTATCCTTCCCTAATTTGATGTTTGAAAAACGTTGACCTAAAGGGAGGTCTGTGAAAAAGTGTGGGAGGGCTCTGACTTTTTCTTCTTCTTTATCATCCAATGAGCTTTTTGAGGCTAGAGAATACATATGTCTCAAAATAAATAATTGTTGGCCTTGAGTGCACGTTATGCATAAGGTCTTATGCAAAAATCTTTGTGAGGTGCTCTCATGTAATACAGTAATATTTGAGGCAGAGAACATCATTTTTAGTTCCTTTGAGATATATAGAATGAAAGTGGCTTGTCCAAGTCCAGTTCAGTAAGTAGTCAAGGTGAGATTTGAATTCATGTCTGCCTGGTGCTGGAATCAGAGTTCAGAATAATTATACTGTATAAATATTACAGGGACACATCTCTGGGAAAGATTCTATCTCTATATCATCATGAACAGAAGCCAGGTTAAAACTTTTTTCAGTAGCTTGCAATATTGGGCTGAAATCAATATACTTTTTCTGGAGGGTCGGAAGTTGATGACTCCCGAATAGGGCTAGGGAGATCTTGAAAAAAGGAATTATAGCTGACCACAGTCAGGTAACTTAGGCTAGTTTTTTAAATGGAAAATGGAAGGAGGAACAGAAATCTTATAATGGCAAAGTAGAGAGAGGAGAAAAGAAATGGTAAATGAGATTTTAAGAGGATTCCAGATGGGGAGTAGGGTGAGTGAAGGGAAGTAGCAGGTGCTCCAGAGCGATTAGTAGAAGACTGTGGACACCTGAGCAAGGGAGGCAGCCAGGTGCGGCCTCATGGGTCTCACTGGTTGTGGGACCTACAGTTTGAAAGTGGACCCAGGAAGGAGATCACAGACATGAGAGAATAACCAGCTTCTGATGCCATGGCAGTGCTGTTGGGGACATCCTCCAATGTGCTTTATGAAATAAATAGGCTGGGAGAAGCCCAGACATGTGCTGAGATGCTTTAATTCTTACACAGAAATCGTGGGATAAGCAGTTTTTCATTCACTCAGCATGTTTAGAAATGTTGAATTATCTATTTTCTTAAATTTAGATTTTATTTTGATTTGACATTACAGATTTTTGCCATCATCCATTCAAACAATTTTTAAAATAGGTGCTTTTGTCTGTCCTTTAATCTAAATTAAATATTGTGACTCAGTTAAGTTTACTTTCTTGCATGGCTCAAATATTACATTTGAGATGAATTTTTGTTCTTGAATTTTCTTGGAAATTGACAACTTTTGATGTTTGTTCATCTGGGGATCTTTGGACATCTGCCTCACAGAGATGTTCTTAGGAATGCCTCTGGATTTTCCCAATATTGTCACATCTGCTTTCCTCCTCAGGGGAACAGCCACAGACTAGGCCACCATAACAGCTGCATGGTGATTCTGGTAACCAAACAACTCATTATTCATAAAGCAGAGCAAAAGTACTTCTCTGTCACAGAACATGCGGATTCAGGATGCTAGTGGGTGGAGGGAAAGATAGCCAAACCAATAGATGACTTGGAGGATTTGCATTTTGTGTTATTTCAACATCCCAGGGGATTACACAGATTGACATCCTGTCCCTCTTCCAAGCTCTGTGCCTATTTCTCCTTT